ACGCCTGCAACGAGATATATGAAATGGGATCGGGTTGCACGCCTGCAACGAGATATGTGAAACGGGATCGGGTTGCACGCCTGCAACGAGATATGTGAAATGGGATCGGGTTGCACGCCTGCAACGAGATATATGAAATGGTATCGGGTTGCACGCCTGCAACGAGATATATAAAATGGGAGCGGGTTGCACGCCTGCAACGAGATATGTGAAATGGGAGCGGGTTGCACGTCCGCAACGAGATATGTCAAATGGGAGCGGGTTGCACGCCTGCAACGAGATATGTGAAATGGGAGCGGGTTGCACGCCTGCAACGAGATATGTGAAATGGGATCGGGTTGCACGCCTGCAACAAGATATGAAATGAAAGTGAAATTCTGTGTTTGTTTTCCTTATCCTTGTTAGTAATTGGATTTTGGTGCCGTGCACTTTCTGTTTGCTATGTTTATTTGTTGTTACCAAGTCAAGTGTTTTAACTGTTCAGATTCCTTTACCGCTGTGATCCTTTGTGAAGGAACCCCATCATGTTTTCAATACTTTGCCGTATTTATATACATATTTTTCAATACTTCAAATTTCAATAATTGTTTCATCTTCAATTCATTTAGTTACTCAATTAAATTTCCTTAAACCGTCTGAGGTTGTATTTTACTTAAAAATGGAATTTCTACTAAGATAATTTATTAAATTTCTTGTGAAAGGTAATATTTCATTCGATGTTGTACTTTAATTGAAAATGGTACTTTCTTTATTTAAATGATTTCTAAAAATAACTTCATCTTTTCTTGCTGAGTTTGGTTTAGAAGCTGTACTCCACTTAGGTTATGTAAATCAGACTCCTTGAACATGTTAATTGTATTGGTTACAGAACCTATGAACCGAGTAACATGAGAGCATTGTTGTGTAAAGTGAGATAGAAATATGCGGGCACGAGGTGCCGGGTGTACTAAAAGTTTGGTAATTGAGGTTATGATATGAGACATCGAGTTTGAGATGGTTGGAAATTGTGCATCAGAAACGATATGACTTATTGAGCTTGCATCGCCTTCCTTGTTTGAGTACATTTTTCTTTACTTGTCTGTGTTCCAGCTATGTTGGTATTAATTTATCTGGTTATCTTCGTTTCCACCCGTGTTTCTCTTTATTATTTCTACTGATTGTAGTTTGTTCTTTCCCTGCTGTTGATATTACTATGTCATTTTTAGATTGATAGTTTATTATCAAATCTTGTTCAATTTATTTGACCAGTAGGTGTCTGGACTGTTCCTCGTCACTACCTCACCGAGGTTAGTCTTGATACTTACTGGGAACCGCCGTGGTGTGCTCATACTACACTTCTGTACATTTTTATGTACAGATCCAGGTATTTGATCGATAGTAGCTGTGCGGATCGTTGCGGTGGAGACTCAAGGTAAACCTGCTACAACGTTCGCAGGCCTCGGAGTCACCTTCATTTGTAATTATTCCCATTTGTTCCTTTTGTTTCGGAGCGGTGATGTATTTATTTTGTGTAACTACTCTTAGAAAGGCTTGTGACTTGTACCACCAGTTTTTGGGAATTGTAAATTGTTAAGAGTTATTCTGATTAAAGTTAGCAAATATAAATGTTATCTCAGTTAATGTTAGGCTTACCTAGTTTAGAGACTAGGTTCCATCACAACTCCTTCGGAGGGATTTTTGGGTCGTGACATTCTTCTTTAGAAAAATAGAAAACAAATGAAAATTCAAATAAAAATATTTTCCTTTTACT